TAATGACTTAAGATACCTCCTTTACTTTATTCCGACGTTTCAGCTTCCGGCGCAGAAGCTATCGTCTAGGTTACTTGTCACAACACAAAGATATAGTTCATAAGTTAGTGACATGGCGTAAAAATAAAAGAACACCAAGATGCTGTTAGGAGGAACCACTTACAGCATTTCAGGAATGTAGTTCATTCGTGAGAGAGCAAGTATATCATTAATAAGAAAAACACCTGCATCCTTGATTGTGAAAATAGAAGCTCAGCATATTCAGTAAATAATCTTTGCGTGTTTCACTTACCAATGGAAGGTTGTGTAACAGCTACCAAAGTTCTGTTAATATCTGTTCAGTTTTGAAATCAATAATATAATGAATAAATAACCTATCGTCATTAATTTTTACAATTTTTTTGTTGCTCCAGTTTCAAAACCCATTCATTCGCTCTGTTCAGCTTTATCTAGTTATGTTGCACATTTGGTGTTTGCTGTTTTGACCACGTTTGTTTTGCAATTTTTCTGTACTTTACCAGTGCACTGTACGCCTTGTTTTGTAAAAATTTTTCCTGCTGATAGTTTCTTTGCTGGAAGCCGAAACGTCGGACTAAGGTAAAAGAGTATTTTGCGTCATACCCAAAACCATTTACATTGAACAAAGAGAGAATTATAAATTTGGTGTGTATTAAAAACTGACACTCCGAAACACTTTATAAAGATGAAACAAGTTATCTTAAAATAACCCTTTGCTACCTTCCTGTTCTGCTAAAAGATCAGGTAATAAATTTAGCACCTCCACATTGTAGGTAGTACTCTCTGAGGATTATTACTAAAATAAATACATGAAGGGAAGTGAAAAACCAGTAAAGTTCAACTGAAAATTCTTTGCTTGATTATAATTGTTTGATTGCATAAGTTAGTTCGTCAAAAGATGGCTCATTGACTCCGCCCATACGTTCATTGCAAGGGGTTTCTGTTTCATGAGATTTTATGGATAACTTTATGGCAAGTCGTATCATTATCGTCGCATTATTGTTTACACTATATACCTTGTGTATTTTCAAAACTGCGTTTCTCAGTAATCGATAGACGCTCAGTCCTTCTCCTTCGCTGATCACTAAGAGTGACCCTCCCATTACAGGGTGTTGACGGCACTGGATGGACTGTCATTTTCCCATCATTATTAATCTTTCAGAGTTTTACGATTAATGCCATAATTTCATACTCATTGAAACGGCGGAGAAAATTAATTTCGCAAGCTTTCGTCACGGATTCTACCCTTTTGTTTTACTCTGAACGCTTTGTGCAGTCAACCACAAGAATTTGAGGTTAAAGTTTCACTTCCGCTGATACGTCAAGAGGTGAAATGATTTAGATTTTCAAGAGCGAGTGCCGATTAAAGAGTTCATAGTGGACATTGTGGAGGAAGATGAATTGGACGAGCCGCTTGAAAACGCCACGATTGTCTTCCATATGGCAGCGAGGACGATGGATTTGGGGATGTACACAAAGCCGAAACGGTATATGGAAGACAATTTCCAAGGTATTTCAACTTTCAGGCGAAAAGCTCTTTCGCGCAACTCCAACTATTAAGGGACGAAACAACTGGTGTTCAGTATGATCGACAAACGTGTGAAATGGATGGTGAATACCAGTGATGCCTTCTCGACTTTAACTTGCTCAGACAGCAGAGGAGCCAGCGAAAACACGGCCAAAACTGTAACAAACGAAAACTTCACTTTGGGGCCATACGCGAAAAGCAAGTTCTACGCTGAGAGATGGCTTAGCTGTTCGTCTGCCAGAACCTTCAGCAGAGGTATGTGAATTAAATAACGAGTTAATTTGCTTACAATCATTTTCAGTTTTGATACCTTAATTTGCTTGTCTTCTTCACTTTCCAACGCTTTTCCTCTCGGGTGGCGGAGGCAGGCACCTCCAACTATGCTTTTGTTCTTCCCCTATCCTATGCCAGAGTCTAAGTTTCGAACAAACAACTGGAGTCTGGAGCAGACTCCTTCCATATGTTTGCACCAGGTTGAACTTGGCCGTCCCCTGGACCTTCTGCCGATCGGTTTCGCAAGAAACAGTTGCTCAGCCGTTGCTTTCTGCAGACATTCGCAACACATGCCCAAACCATCGCAGCTGTGGCTTCTCAATCTGAAAAAGCAAAGGCTGCAATCCAAGGCTCTTCCGGATGTCAGTATTCAAGACCATGTCGAGACGCGTAAGGCCAGCGATTCGTCTAGGAAAGGATTGGTCTAGGCAGCTTTTCCCCGGGTTCGAAGTTTTTCACTGATGATCCACGACTCATGATCGTAGATAAGCATGGGGATAAAGATCGACTTGAACGCGGAGTGCTTAGTTTTCAGACTGAGCACTGCTTTAGTCACAATAGTTCACGCAGAACGCCACTGGCTACTCCAGTTCGTCGGGCGATCTGTTCCTCCAATTTTCCGTCACTAATAAATACAGTTCCTAGGAACTTGAACTTCTTCACCTGCTCCACTGTCTCTTCGTTAATCTGAAGAGAGCAACGAGCAGAAGAACGAGGAAACACACTAGGCTTTCCGTTTTAGATCTGTTCACATGCATGCCGACCAAGTCGTACACTGTGCGAACCTTACCATAGATCGCTATAGATCAGTGTCAGAAGTTGCCAATTAAACAAGGTCATCTATGAACAGAAACTTTCTCGTCTTGACATCTCTTACACGATCATTCATTATCTTGACTATGCCTGACTATTCTGTTCAAGTACTTCAAAAACAGGAGAATATTACCAACGCCAATGACCTTCATGTACCTGGCCTTAGTGCTGTTGAACGCAACGCCTAGAAACGTATGGCTGGGAACTTTCCATTTTGACAAACGCATCCCCGCCTTTTGACCATAAAATTTTCCCTGGTCAAGGCAGCTGTTTAATGCATCATATGGTACATTTAATAGAAGCGGAGAACGGTGCAAAGAAATTGAGAAAAGTGGAAAATGGTCAGCAAGTTTAGGTATCTTGAATGAACGTCACATATACTAAGGGTGCAACATTTTTCTAGCTTATAAATCGCTAGCGACAGTATGGAGTAGGTAAAATAACTGGAAAAAGCTCTCGAACTAGAATTAGCATTACAAAAGCAGAAAACATTTAAAAGTAGAATTTATGGAAGTACGTAAAAACTAGGCGAGAGACGCTAATTCTTAATGAACAGGCCGAAAAGCAATTACATCATGAATCTGCTATTTGTCAGATTTAAGGAATTTCGAAATAAACTTTGCATGTCAAAAATCAAGCCTTGGAAACAGAGATCTTAGGTTGCGACTATAGCTGGCAAACGCAAGGTCGTCCATTAAATCTACTGTAAACAATGGTTGAGAAAAACAGACAATAGCAATGACAGTAGAATCGCATTAAATTCTACTAACCAATTGTCATATTCTATGAAAATAGACGGTGCTATTTCCATAGGTTTTTTGTCAGATTCAATAGGTTATTTTGTTCTGAATTTTTTTGCAATCAGATCATAGAAGCTTCGCAAGGTTTGCGTTAATACGACGATACGATAGCGA